AAAACGCGTGTGTCAGCCCCCAACACCGCTCCGCGTCCGAGCCCTCCGGGCAGGGCAGGACCGGCCGTGAGGCAGCGCCTGGCACCGAGAGCCCGGGGGCACCGAGAGCCCGGGGGCACCGAGAGCCCGGGGGCACCGAGCAGCCCCGCTGGGCTCCCGGGCTCAGCCCCCCTGCGCTGCTCGGCCCACAGCCTGAGTTCGGACTGCGGCTGGTGGGCGGGGGAAAAAAAAAAGCCCTGCGAAGCCGGTGTGCGTTGGCTTGATGAGGATGGAGGGACCTGTCTGGCATCCAGCTTCTTCTGGTTCTTGACAGTTTTTGACTCCTAAATCCCACGGTTTTCCTCATAGAAATAAGTGTACTTTTACCAGCGTAAGAAGTCGGGTCTTTGGTGGGTTCTGTTCCACTAGTTAGGGAAAACCAGAGCTCAGGTGCCCGAGCACACAAGTTCTTTACCACAGTTGCTCCAATTCCAGCTTTGATTTAGAAGTAGTAGACTTCATTGCTGTATAGCAATTAGAAGCAGAGGAGTCTCAAATTTTACTTCACCTGTGCTCTGCACGTGGGGGTTTTGGGCTGCTTTCGTGCCCCTTGCTGTTAAGATCCAGTTCTGTGTTGCTGAACAAGCAGCCAGGCTTGCTGGTGGTTTTGATGTTATTGTGTAGGGACTTGGAACCAAAAATTATAAGGATCCAGATGAAATAAGAGTTTGTTTTGTGATCTGGAATGAAGATATTAAAAATACGTATTTGAAAGTTAAAAAAAAAATAAATTAAAAAGAAAACTACAGTCCTTATGATGCACAAAGCTATAACCAGTGTTTTCTAGACTGCTTCCCATACAGGATTGAATGAGATCCTTGCGTAGGTTTATGTTGCGAAATACTTTCTTCCTCCTCTGGAAGTACCTTCTTCATGCACGTGATCGCTCTGCACTGACACGTCTGCCAACACGTTCCCCACACGCCATGCACGGCGCTCACATGCACGACTGTGGCTGTTAAAGGACAACACCTGGAGCCACTGATCACTCCTTTATTATTTTGAGTGTATGGAATAAATGAGGCCTTTGATAAGTTAGCTTACATACGAACTGAGTAGGAAGCTAAATATATTTGCACCCAGAGGAATCATTTGGAAGTGGTAGCCTTTTGCAATTTAGCCTCTGCGGAGAGGTTAAAGACACTTCTGCACGTGTACAAGAGATGTGCTAAGTTTGGCATCATTTTAGGTTGAATGCCAACTAATTAGTCATCTAGCAAAGATGCTTTATGAGCATTATCAGATTTCCAAAATTAAACAACTCCTAAATATGATCTTTTTGCCCAATCAGTGTTGCAGACTTTAAGCAAAATTCTGTAAAGGAGGAAAAATTAATTGTATCTCCTTGAACTTCCGTAACAGCAATATCAAAGTAAATAATAGAGGGAGGAGAAAAAACCTTCTGAGATTTCAGCCTGGAGAAAACACTTCTGAGTGAATATTTCAGAAAATTGATATTATGTTGCTTCTTGCTTCTTCCTTCCTTACAACATCTAGGCTACTCATCTCTGAGTTTTGAACTTCTAAATAACACATGAGGAAAATTCTTGAAATTTTTGAAAATGATGCCTGCCTCCCTAGCTCTTTACAGCAAAAGTTACCTTCACCTGATTTGGCAAGTACAGCTTTAAAAAAAAAATCAAACCAAAACCAACCAAAGAAAGACATTTCTGGAATTGGTCAGATTTTACTTTTTAGGTAACTCAGAATAGTAACTATGGATTAGTTATTGAAATATATACTACCCAAATCAAGTTTTCCCTATATTTTGGTTTATTTTTGCTGATAAATCTTAACAACACATGTTAAAAGTGGATCACTCACCAGTTTATAACATAGCAAACAAAATGTCAGAACATTTACAGATGGAAAAGTATAGTGTGTTTTGGTAACGTTAAAACTACGTCACTTTCTGATGAGCAGCAGAATATTTTTTGTTTTATTCTTGAAGCTGATTCACTATTTTTCACGTGGTTCAAAATGAAATTAAGATTTTATTTTAAGAACGAAACCTCAGAGGTCTGACTGATGCTGCTTTTATACTTCAAATCAGTGAAAACATTTCTAATTCTGGCACAAATGATGTTTAAAATCAGACTTGGGGAGGTAGCCAAATGCTGAATTTTGCTGGCATCTGCCAGAGTTGCCACAAATAACAATTAATAAAGATTTTGTTTTGGGTGCAGAGCAAAGTAGAAAACATTTTTTTTTTGAGCTTTCCTAAAACTAGATCCAGATTCTCCGTGCCATCACTAAGAAGTACAATTTTTGGTAGCTATGGAGGAAATTGCCAGAGCATACTTACAAATGTGGAAATGGTCCCTTGGAGGGTTTTGAACCTCAATAGAGTATGTGCAAGCTTGTGTTGGTATTTCTTAGGCAGAAGCATGGTGTATGTTGAGGGTTAATAAAAGAATAAAGTTCCCCATGTCGTTTGATTGACACCTTGCATTACAAACTCACTTGATTAAATGGACTTAAAAAACTTAGAAAGTTGCTGTCACTTATAATCACTGAGAAGTTTGGTAGTGTAGTAAGCAAAAACAGAAGGGTTTATGAAAAAGCTGATTAAAGACCATTTTGAGTGAAAGTTCCCATTAAGTTTGGGGGAGGAGGAAACCTAAAGAAGCAAGGGAGAAGCTAAGAGGTTTCGTATAGAAATTTAATGGAACAAAGCAGAATGGGCAGTTTTGTATAGGTAACAATAAAACTCCCAAGTGCTGTTAGGAACAATTTAAATGCATAAAAATTTTGAATTTCAATAGAGGGAAGGTATTTAGGAACTACTGAAAAACTAATTCAAATGATGTTTGAAAATAGTGTAGTGGAAATGAAGTCAATTCCATTCCCTACAGTGTCCTCCATTTTATAATTATCCTGAATTTCAGAATGCAATTTGTAATGCATTTGTATTTCCCAGTCACAATCATTCTATAAGAATAGAGTGTTTACAGAAGCCAGTTGTAGTGTGATTAATTAAAAGCATTATTTTCTGGAAAACTTCTAGTATTACCGCAGTGCAGTTGTGATTCAGCTGTAAAACTTCAAAGCAAAAGGATTTCTAGTTACACCCTGACTCCAGTTTTCAGCTGCTTTTAAAATTTTTCTGCAAGACACAAATGTGAACTATAGAAGGTTGAAAAACCTGGATCTTCTCTGAAAATCCTCTTTTTACCTTTCCAGTGGTGCTGAGTTTAAAAGTGACTATAGAAGACTTTACCTGAGCAACTCCTCAACCAAGTAGGGACGTGATTCAAACCTGTATTGGATTATAACTTTAGAAAATATCAACAGTGTCTTTGAAAGTTTCATGATAGAGTAACTCATCACACTTTGGGAAGCAAAGCGGAAGGGGGGAACTGATGTGCGGCCACGTCTCAGCTGATTTTAATTCATTTTTCTTTTAGTTGTGCCTTTTAGAGAACATCTCATATCTAGTGTCTTCCTTTTTATGGCCAATTATATGGCGACACCAAAAAAGGAAGGTGGTGTGTGATTTGTCTCCTGTCCACATCTCTTGTGTTGACTGTGAAACCCACTGGTGTTAGCTCTAAGCAGGCTGACACTATTGCCCACAGCCTGTTAGTGGCCCATTGTGGTGTGGTTGTTCATCAGCTGGTGAAACCTGGAGCTCTCTCTCCTCTTGGGTTCTGTTATTTGTTTGAGGTAGTCTGGCATGAGCTGCAAGTCTCCCTGGCAGCTTGTGAAACAGTGATAGTTCTGTGGCTTTCTGTTTAGAAGTTGCCACATACACTGGCTCATAAGTAGAAGGAGCAGGACTGTGTTTGTCAATTTTCCTTCTCCCTTCCTCTTTTCATGTTCTTTCACATAATCTTGTTCCTGTGAAAGTGCAGCAGAGTACTTGGTGGAATTAAACATGTTGGCTATTGTCTCCTCCAAGAAGGGTACGAGGGGGATTCCCTGCCCCTTCTAGGCTGTATGATGTTCAGCTGATTAACATAATTTCTGAATAGTTTCATTTCCTGTCAAAGCAGGAGGAATTACTTTAGTTAGAAAATAAACACAGAATAAATTTGAATAATTTTCGCTTTTTAGAGAACCGAAAAATATCTATGTCAATATCTGCTCTTACTCAGAACTCACACGTATTGTCAAGATTCCATTGCTCAGCATAATAGTTGTAGTAATTTAATTATTTTTTAAAATTGCAAATGGACTTAAGTGAACACTGTGAAGTTGATCCTTTTTTTTTTCAGGCAGTTGTCCAGTCTTCCTCAGCTGGTGAGAGTAGATGACTCAAAGGCTTGACAGGATGTGGTGTTAGATACCTGTAGTTGACTGATTTTAATTTGGCCAAGGTTAGTAATGCTTGAAGTCATTGCCATCTGTCCATTGTTCAGTGACCTGTATAAAAGTAGCTGGTATTCTTAGTCCAGTTCTTAGTAGACAGGTGTCCACATCATGAAAACTGGCACCAGTATCAAGCTTGTTGGCTGTCTCAGCAGAGTCTATTTGCTGATGAACAGGCAAGGAACAGAGTAATCTCCTCGTTTTTGGAGGTGTGTTTTTCCCTTTTCAGGGTTAAGACGTGCATGGATCAACATATGTAAAGGCAAAGGTTATTGTGTGCTGCTGTGCTTCATGTATTTCTCTATTGGTAGAAAACATAGCCCATGTGTTTGAATGCCACATTCATTTTTAAATATTCTGGCTTCCTAACGGAAATCTTACATATAGCAGGCGTCCTCCGCTGTTCTTTCTGATAGAATGAAGCAAGAGAACATGCTTCACATTTTGACTATTTTTTCCTTTTTTTTTTTTTTTTTTTCCCCTCGCCTGAGAGATCTCAGCCCTATTCTAACAGCAAGAATTTGGAAAGAGAAACCGAATCTTTCACATGTAGTTATATTTAAAAAAAAATATCTTTAGCAACAGTTTTATTTTTGTTGTGTTTTTTTTTTTTTTAAATGTATCTGTAGGAACTGATAGAATATAATTTCATGTTAGTTTATTTATCCTGAAACTATCTTGTAATAGCAGCAGTAGCTGCACTTAGCATTTAAATCATAGTTTTTATGCTGAAACCTTTGTACAGACTTGTTTGCTAATGTTCCCTATAGGCTGTGTGACTCTTGGTGGCAAAATTTGCAATGTACAGAAAGCCTGTGCAGGATTTGACTGTTTGCATACAGTGGAGATCTCTGCAGTGACAGTTGCCTATGGAGACGCAGGGATAATGGAGCCCAAAGTCTTTTGCTGGGAGCTGTGCTGCAGTTCAACCCATATGTTGGCATAAAATGTATGGGAGAGCTGTCTTATGTTCCTCTTTACAGGGTTAGGGCTTGGCATCGCTTCTTCAGCCCACATGTAATGTCTCTACCTAACACTGAACTATTCTGGCTTTTTGCAGGGGTTGCTTTTAATCCTGCCTGAGCTTCTGTGTATTATCTTGCAAGCAGTGATTCAGACTTAACTGTTCCCACTGCAGTGTGTAGGACTCTCCTATTTCATTGACATAAAAATACACACATGTATGTTATAAATAGTTCCTCAG